CTGGTGGTTTTTTCAAAAGTGATTGGTGAACTCAATGCAGTTGGTCACTGTAGACATTAGCAGTAATAGTCTGGCCAGATGGTATAAGTTCATAGTGAACAATTCCATTTGCAGTCCACCATATGCACAATATTGGCAGGTGCCAATTGATGAAGTATCCATTTACTGAGCTTGTAAACTTTCCCAAGACAATGCAAATGTAAACGGACAGTTTCATCACTTACGGAGAACCTTTGTGCTAACATCTGACAAGTTTGAGCAGAATATTCTTCGATTGCAGCCTGTAATTCAACATCATTCTCATGGCGCATCTTTAAGCGACTCATTGCCGGAAGAAAATTTTGTAAACCATCTTTGGGTGGTGTGAGTGCTAACAGAACCTTGTCCAAAAGCCTGGCATATTTTTTGAGCCATTTGCACAGCACTTGTTCCAAGTTTAAACTCATACAACATACAAGCACGAATTACAGAGTTTGGAGTACTCATCTTCAAGTCAATTTTTATAATATTAAGAGATAACCTTTCCACTTCTCTTTATATAAGGTGAGTCAGCATTAAATCTTGATTAACATATTGCTGGAATTTTAGTGTCATCTATTGTGTATTGCGTGTAACATTCTTTAAACTTTGTAGTTTCACAAAAAACGACAGAACTTTTTTGGTTACCTAATACTTTTATATAGACAAAAATGTTAGTAAATTTTTTTCTTTTCATAGTGCTGGTGTTGGTTTTGTTGTTGTGTGTTTATACAATCCTAGTTATTGGTATATTGATTTCCAATTTTCTGCAAGTGTTTTTCTGAATAAATTCTAAAAATAGATTTGGTAAATTTTATAGAAATAAAATACTTTTAATTAATCAATAATTTCTAATAATAAAGATAAAATAATTTTGATTTTATTTATAACTTTCAGATAAATTTAAATATATTATTAAAAATTTTTTAAACATGATTTTGAACATGAAAAAATAGCAATTATTATGATAAATTAACTATATTTTTATCATATATAAAGATTTCTAAATAACTGAATTTAAATTACTTAATGATAAAAAAAAATATTTTCCAAAAAAACTTTTATGAAAGTTCATTATTGTTTAATAATCTAATTTATTTTTAATAAATTTAGTTTTAAAAATTTTACTCAGAAATTATTTTGATAACTTTGAATAATTGTTATTTTTCTGAATTTTCTCATTAGAATTCTTATAAATACCAGCTTTTGCATTTCTGTCAGCAACATTAATTTATGGAATACTTATTTTATTGAAAGATTTCTTGATTTATTATATTTGTAAAAATTTTTTTAAAATTTTGACCATCTAATTATACTAGTATTTATAAAAGCATTTTGACAATTAGAAAATTTTAACTGTTACATTCTTTAATTAAAATTAATACTAAATTTATGGCTATTAATTCATATTTTGATCTAAATTTGCATATTATAATTGTTTTAAAATCATAATGATATAAATAATAGAATATTTGATAAACTTAATAAAAAGTTAATTAAAAGATATTTGTAATTTATATAGTAAAATAAAATTTTAAATATTAGTCTTAATTCTTTCAGATGAGTAACATAAAACAATATTTTGCACATAAAACAAATTTAAATATTAATAAAACTGACAAAGATAGCAAGATTGCAGAACAATTTACTGAAAATTAAACCATACTTATTCATAACTGTATAAATTTGATATTTGAGAAACTTAATAATCAAATAATATTGCATCCTGTTAAAAAAAACTACTGTAGAAGTAAAGCTTACCATCTCAGCTATCAAATAAAAGTTATCAGTTCCACTATTATGACTTAGCCTTGTTAGAGTTTTGTCTTGTAAATTCATATAAGTTTTGATGTTATAAAAATTGTAGTAACAGTTCACTACATCAAACAAATAAACACACTGTGTTCAGATTCTGAAAATTTTGTAAATACATGCAGAGCATAGGTAGTTAGGTAGTTAGAAAAGATTTTTTAATAAGAAAAAATTTAAATTTTTAAATATAAATATGATATCACTAAAATTTAAAGTGTGTAATAAAACTTTATTACCAAATAAAACCTGGATAAAATAATTCATTTAAAATAGTTGCAAATAGAAGATGATAAAAAATATATATATATATATATTTTTAGCATCTTCACATTTGTCCTACATCAATATTTTAAATAAAAAACTTTATTAATTAGAATAACTAAACATTTTATTTTAGTAATAAATATAAAATACTTTTACTATAAATTAGTACTTATACTTGTGAATACAGTTTCAAATTATGATGAAATGATGAAACTGACATAAAAAAGTGTAACTTCTAAAATGTTTTCATTGTAGTTTGCTTCAAGAATGATTTTTCATAAGGCTTTAATATATCATACAAATTTGTCTTTTTAGACTAATTTAAGAGAATATAAAACAATTTTTGAAAATTTAGCATATCATTTAAATTCCATATTGACATTATATCCCATCTTCATATTTTAATCATATGAATAAAAATGTAATCATCATCACTGTTAAGATGTTAAAGTGTTTCATTAAGTGTTTGATACAATGAAATTTTCAGATCATAAATAAGTTTTGAAAATACTTGAATATCTAAAAAAATACTTTGATTCCCTATTAAGGCTAATGATAATTATATTTTATTATTATTATTATTTAAGCACATAATAAAAGATTGAAATCTCTCTGAAAATCATTACTTACTTATAAAAATTATACATATCAGAAAATAGACTAAAAACCAGTAATCTTTCATTTTCAAATAAAATACTGTACTGAGATTCAAAAAATGTGAACAGTATATGTTTACAAAGGCAAATACTTTTTTAAGAACAAAACTCAGTAACATTATGTAAAAACACAGACAGACTATAATTGGCAGTAAACTTTTCCATTCATTTTCCTTAATTAGCAATTTCTTTGCATTTTTATATTTTCTCTTCCATCAGTTGAAGAAATTCCTGGATTCCTGGATAAAAACATCTAAATATATTCATTTGTTTTGCAAGCAAAATTTTATACTTTTATATAAGTATATTTGCTAAGTTATTAAATTAAAAACATTTTGAACATTAGCATAAAGTTAAAAGATTTTTTATTACTGGAAATTAAGTTTGTTTCTATAAAAAATTTCAAGTACAAATTTTGAACTATAAATCATACTTTTATAAATACTTGTTTGCCATTCAGAGTNAAATAAAATATATATATATATATATATTTTTAGCATCTTCACATTTGTCCTACACCAATATTTTAAATAAAAAACTTTATTAATTAGAATAACTAAACATTTTATTTTAGTAATAAATATAAAATACTTTTACTATAAATTAGTACTTATACTTGTGAATACAGTTTCAAATTATGATGAAATGATGAAACTGACATAAAAAAGTGTAACTTCTAAAATGTTTTCATTGTAGTTTGCTTCAAGAATGATTTTTCATAAGGCTTTAATATATCATACAAATTTGTCTTTTTAGACTAATTTAAGAGAATATAAAACAATTTTTGAAAATTTAGCATATCATTTAAATTCCATATTGACATTACATCCCATCTTCATATTTTAATCATATGAATAAAAATGTAATCATCATCACTGTTAAGATGTTAAAGTGTTTCATTAAGTGTTTGATACAATGAAATTTTCAGATCATAAATAAGTTTTGAAAATACTTGAATATCTAAAAAAATACTTTGATTCCCTATTAAGGCTAATGATAATTATATTTTATTATTATTATTATTTAAGCACATAATAAAAGATTGAAATCTCTCTGAAAATCATTACTTACTTATAAAAATTATACATATCAGAAAATAGACTAAAAACCAGTAATCTTTCATTTTCAAATAAAATACTGTACTGAGATTCAAAAAATGTGAACAGTATATGTTTACAAAGGCAAATACTTTTTTAAGAACAAAACTCAGTAACATTATGTAAAAACACAGACAGACTATAATTGGCAGTAAACTTTTCCATTCATTTTCCTTAATTAGCAATTTCTTTGCATTTTTATATTTTCTCTTCCATCAGTTGAAGAAATTCCTGGATTCCTGGATAAAAACATCTAAATATATTCATTTGTTTTGCAAGCAAAATTTTATACTTTTATATAAGTATATTTGCTAAGTTATTAAATTAAAAACATTTTGAACATTAGCATAAAGTTAAAAGATTTTTTATTACTGGAAATTAAGTTTGTTTCTATAAAAAATTTCAAGTACAAGTTTTGAACTATAAATCATACTTTTATAAATACTTGTTTGCCATTCAGAGTAAACATTAGAGACATATTTTCAAACAATGTAATATACTTTATGTATCCAGTTATTTATATTTGAATCTAAAAGAAAAAATATAATTCTTCCTCTAAAATTAACTCTTAACTTTTATTATTTATTTTAATATCATATTTTATATTATATTATTAAAAATTAAAATATTGGATAAAAGAGATTTCAAAATTTTTTAAATTTGCATGAAGCATTCCATTAATTAAAAGAGATGAATTGAGATTTTTATGGTCAAACAATCAGTCAAGTCAGGTCAAAAACAGTCAAACAATCTCTATTAATAGAACTTAAAAATAAAATAACTTAGATTAAAAAGATTTTCATTCATGTATTTATTTCATCACTTATAATAATATAGAATATATAAAAATAAAATTTTGAAAAATGTTTTTGCGTCTTATAATTAACTATTCTTTAAGTAGCTATATTTTATTTATGTTTTAGAAAGATTACTGTTTTTAGACTTTCCTTACTCACATGTCAGTTGATAATTGTCAAAAATTGCTTCTATGAGTAAAATTCATAAAATCAATACTTGAATAGGAAAAAATAGTTAAATTATCATAATACATTTGTAAGTATATAAATATATTTATTTATTTATTTATATATAATGTAGATATTTAAATTTCATATATAAGCCTAGTAGTATCATCTACACGTAATCATATTACCTTGGAGAAGTACCAGGTGATAACCCAGGAGTATTTGTTGGAGATGCTCGCCGTGGAGGAACAGGAGGAGGCCCAGAAATAGGTGGTCTACGAGTAGATTGTGGTGAGGCACGGGGTGAAACTAATGGAGATCTGCTATTTGACTGTAATTTTTAAATAAAAAATATAAACAAATTAAACTAAGTTAATTATTAACAAAATAATTTATAATTTTATTCTGTGTTAAATGATTACTAATATACTACTTTTGAAATAATTTTAAGTATTTAAAAAATTCATTAATGTATCTTAATATTAAATAAGATATATTAATTAATATACATTTTAATATTAGTTTGAAAACTATAAAATTAAATCATTAGATGCAAAATAAATGAGTATAAATGAATAACATAAATTACAAATACAGTGGGTGATTGGTTAACTAACAGATAGGATAACAAACACTTTCGCAAAAGATTTTTATGTTCTGACAACGAACACCCCACAGAACAAACACAAGAAGAAGTGACGTAAAATAATGAATACCGATTGGTCTTCGCTTGTCTTTGGGCAACAATTTGAAACTTTTCGAAGTGTGGGAGATGTCGACATTGACGCTCAAGCCGGTACATATGGATCGGATAATATTCCTCCGAACTTTGAAACTCTCCCTTGTAATTCCAGTCTTTTATTTTTCTGACAAAACAATTCTTTTATGTATTCGCGAGACTGTCAGGTAGGCACTCGTTAAGTTTTGCGTCTGTTTTTCTTTTCGAAAGATGAGAGTATAATAGCAAAGGTAGAGAGTGGGGTAGAAGATGCCTAATGTTGCTGGGCAGTATGGCATGAACAGGTCTACAGTAGGCCGCAGTTCAATCTTATTTAAGAAAGATACTATATAATCAAGAAGACTCAAGCAGCTAAAGGAGTAACAAAGATCACATCTGAAAAATAAAGAACATTGAAGAGTTCATAATGGAACCTGAAATAGATCTGATGACAGAAGAACACCAAGAAACTCGGCGAGATATGTTTTCTTCTAAAAAAGAGGATTAATGCCAATATCTGTTATTAAAGATCCTTTGAAGAAGTGGGAGAATGTCAGAACAATGGTCTTAGAATGGCATCCAAACCAGGTTGAGGCTTGGGGATTTCTACAATTGCAATGCTATTAATTACAAAAAATCCTGAAGAAGAGAGAAAAGCAATTGACATTAGACAGATTCTTTAACCCTTTCAAACGGAAAAAACATGACTAATAAAAACGCAAGACTGTGTATGTGTGTATTTTTATTATTACATATAAATAAACGTAGTAAGAAAGTATATATTTTTTATTTTTGGGGGTCTCCAGAACGAATTAATTAAATTCCCATTAAAACCTATGGTAAATCGATAATCGGTTAATGAACAATTCTGATAGTGAACAAAGTCTTGGAACAGATTATGTTCGTTAACTGATCACCCACTGTACTAACAAAACTTTTCAATTCTTCTTTATAAACTTAACACATTTGATCCTAGTTATATATAAAATTCAAAACTTTTAAATTTTAAATCCAAAATTCATTTAAGCAAAAATAATTTTATTGTGTATTATTTTTTAATACAATGAATAATAAAAAACTGTAAAAATGCATAATTGGTTACTAGTTGGTATGATAAGCACTCATTACAGATATTTATTTTTATCAATTTTGGGAATAAAAGTAATAGATTAGCTTACTGGTTATAATACAATAATATAATGCAAACATGTTTAAAACCAGAATATAATTTATTCACTGTAGGTGTTTTCAGCTTTGTTGAAGGGCCTTCTTCAGACTTTCAAAAGATAGCATAGTCAACAGAAATTAGGATCATTGAACATAGAATAATTGCAATAGTTACATTCAAACCAAATGGGACATCCTTCATAACCGGTTAAATTTAAACTACATGGAGTATCTTAACAACTGGCTACATTTAAGATTATTTACTATAAATTGTATAAACATAAACATAACATATACATAAAATCACATATATGAAAACCACAAGAATGCACTAAGACGGTATTTCATAGTCTCAAATGTGGCCAATCACTAAGACATTCCATATAGTTTAGATTCAACCAATTATGGAGAACATATCTGGTTTGAATGTAGCCATTACAATGATTCTTTAATTTTACTTTAAATTTATTCTATATTCTAGTTTCTGTTGAACTGTTATTTTTTGAAAGCCTGAAGAAAGCTGTTCAGCATGGCCAAAAACACTTGTGGTGAATAATTATTTTCTGGTTTTAAAGGTATTACAAATTAACTTGAAATTTAGCATATATGGTTTTGAAATATTTAATTATGTACTATAAAACTTCATTTTATCATATAATAAAATTTTTATTTAACACCAAACACTAACAATATCCTCAAAACCTATTACCAGTGTCTTCTCCCACAACGACTCACAACAAAAAAAAATTTTTTTCTTATTGTGAGTCATCATGGGAGAACACACCGGTAACAGGTTTTGAGGATATTGTTAATTTACTACACTCCAGTATTGAGTAAGTGATTTTTTAACACCAAACACTATAGTGCTATCAGTTATTACAATATTATATTAACTTCAAACAGTACAAAAACAAAACTATCCAATACATAGAATAGACAGGATGTATACAAAAACATTGCATCTTGCTTCTGCTACATATTAGCTAAATATAGGTAATTGGTAGTAGACTATTCAATGGCACAGTATCATATATACTATTCAATGGCACAGTGGTCATATAGTCAACTCCCTTTCTCATGGAGCCAAATCCTATTTCAGATCCTATGAAAAATAAAGGCATATTTTAAATTACAAAATCAGTGTGTTTCAAAATTAGTTCAAAACGTTTTTTGTTTGATTAAAATACTTTAAAGAAGAAGTAGCTGAACACTCAAAAAATTGAATCCAGAAACCATGTGAAGCTTCTTTGCATGGCCTTGCATGCTTTCATGTACAGTACTTGTATTTAGCAAATGCATAGCAGAAGTAAGATATAGCCTGATGCAATATTTTTGTCTAGAATCAAGTAAATGCAGAAAAATTTATTTGATTCTAAGACACACCATAAATTTGAAATCAAATTTTAAAATATTTTTATGGAGAAAAAAATGATTATTGTGAGATAAATGTCTCAATTCAGGAAACAATGAAAATTCCATTCTGTCTCAAAGATTTAGCTCTTAATAATTATAGTGATTTAAGTTTTTTTTATTTATATATGATTATCTNAGGCGGACGAATGACAATGGGAATTTATAGCTCTACAATTTTTTCAAATTGTAACCCAATTAACTATAGAAATTCTTATGTTGCACTTATTTTGCAAATAATAAAATCTATTAAAACAAGAATTTTTTAATAGTTTAAATGAAGGAGAAATGAATTCACTATGTATAATGTGCAGAATATTTAATATATTTGCAGAATATATAAAAAATCTTTATGCATATTTATGAAAATATTCTTGTACATACAGTATGTATAACACTTTTAAACAAAAATTTTGTTACAGCTACAAATAGAAATTATAACCTCAAGCAGAATGTAATAAAAAACTGAAAAACCTTACACAAAAAAAAATTTCATAATTTTTTTTAAAATTAAATATTTGTTTCAAAATATATTAAGTAGAAATTATTTTGTGTTTATTTCAATTATCATGTTTATTATTTTAATAAAAATAATATTTGTAAATATTTTCATTAGGTATTTAAGCTTTGAAATATGTATATGAAAAAAATATAATGTTTGTTATAGGCAAATTGTATTTCTTAATATTAATTTATCATTAATTGGAAATCTCAATCTAATTCAGGATGAAAACTCTTATGGAAAATTCACAAAACTTTTTAAAAATTCATTACTTAAATATTTTCATAACAAAGCTGTATCATTTTCAAAAGTGTTCTGCTTGGAATCACTATCAAATTTATAAATTATTTGTTTGTTCTATTGTTAATGAGTTGCTAAACTGTGTTCAAAAAATCAATTCAGAAGCATAATTAAAATTACAGTTTGATTTTATATATTAAAGGTTCTTGTCTTAACATACTTTATTAAAGATAAATAAATATTTATATGAAAAGAAATTATTAAATAAATAATTTTTCATAATGTAGTTATTTTAATTGTTTAAATTTGGTGAATATATGTATAATTGGATGTGTGTTTCTAAATCCCAATATATACCAGTATGAATTTCTTGAAAAAATTAGTCTAAATACTTCAGCTTTTAATTTCTATTTGTTAATTAAATTATTAATAACTAAAAATAATAATATAAAGTATGCAGATGCTTTGGAAGATGAAATGATTTTTATTTCTAAACATTTAAGTAATGAATATTAAAATTTAAGATATTGTTAGAGCTGGTGATGACTTATTACTAGGTGATTAATTTTGAAAAATTTAAGAATGCCTAATACAATTAATTTAAAGAACTATTTTAAAGTATTTATTTAATGAAACTATTTAACATAATTTTTAGGTAGTTAACAATCATTGTATCTATATGTATTTGAAATGAAACTGTTAGATGTTAGATTTCATACAAATTGATCTTCAGAAAATCAGAGGATTGTATGTGTTAAAGATGTAAAAATTTGAATGAAATTGTAACATAATTTTAAAACTTGAGATTTAACAAATTATAGATTAAAAAATATGTTGAATTTTAAATTATATTTTATCAACCTGTTTAACTTTGAAATGAAATAAATTTAAAATATGTAAAAACAAGTTCTGAAATATTTATATAGCCATTCAATTTTTGTCAACAATCTGTTGTTAAATTTATAGTAAGTAAAAAAAAAACAAAAATTGAAATTTTTTTTTTTATATTTGAAATTTTTTGTTTCTTTTATTCAATGTAACAACACTTTTTTTTAGTTATTTATAGAAACCAGAAGAAAACAATACTTCCAACTTCCTGAAAATATTTGTATAGAAACTGAAGAATGTTAGTTTTTCCTTTTGAATTTATGTTTTATACATATGTGAGACAATAAATTAATAACTTTAGACAGTCAAATGTTTCTCAAAAATTAAAGATATTTTTTATTTTGATAATTAAGTTACTAAAAAGTAAAGAATATTGATACAGTCAATATTGAAATGGAAAAAGTTT